GCCGGCCGGCCCCTGCGCAGACGCCCTGGCCGGGCAGAGGGGACTGAGCCTCCACCGGCTCCTCTCACCACACACGTGACCACCCGCAGACGAGGGGGCTGGTGGCTCCCGGTGCGCCCGGCCCCAGCCGGACTGCGAGACCAGGGGCGCCCTGCGCGACGCCCCTGGGCCCAGCGCCCCCCCCGGCTTTGGCTTTCATTCTTGGTGACCAAGTCGGACGTCACAGGGACGACAGGAGAGCGGCCCGCCAGGGTCCCCGCCCGCGCCCACCGCGTGTGCTCCTCCTGCAGCTGCCCGGGGTCCGGCGGGAAGAACTTCACGGCCAGGCGAAGCGAGCCGCTCTCCGACCCTGTTGGCGAGAACCGTCAGGCTTCTCGGGGCCCCGGCGGGCAAAGCAGGGGTGAGCCCGGCGACAGCCCGGCAGTGGGGCCCTGGGCGCGGCGGGGACTCGCGCTGGGGCCACGGAGGGTTTATTCCATTTTGTTTTTAAAGATGGATGTGTTCATGCCGACAGAACTGGGGCGCAGGCCCGAGGTGCGGGGTGAGAGGCTTCACCAGAGCCAGAGCGGGGAGCAGGGCGGGCGGCCCACCGAGACCCGCTGCTGGGGGGCGGTGGGGGTGGCGGGCCAGGAGGCTCCACTGCGCCCCGGGGCCGCCCTGGCCGGTGGCCTCCGGCCGCGTGGGCGGTGCACAGCTTCACTGTGCTGACTGCACCCCAAGGGTTTTCTTAAATTCAAAACGTCGGGCCCTCCCTGGGGGTGCAACGGGCACTGCGAGCTGCCTGCAGCCACCTCACTGAGAGTCCGATGCCGCCCGGAGCTGACCCCCGGGGCCCGGCAGACCCCCCTGACCGCCCGCCGCTCCCTCGGCAGTGGGTTTCGTCCGTCGGTCCGTTCTGCTCCCCGCTCTGCCTCTGGGGGATCTGCTCACCGCCCCTGCACCTCTGGCCTGCACCCCAGTTGTGGGTGCATAAATAAATACAACTTTAAAGATTAAAAACGTTAATCCGTTTGGAAAAAGCGCAAAGGGTGGGTTAGAGCCACTGCACCTCAGGGAGTCACCCAGCACACCCCGGGTCAGCCTCTGCCGAGCTCCCTGCCCCCGCCCAGGGGCCCCGGGCCGCGTCC